CCTCCAAACTTTTGGGAGATTCTGATGATACAACAAATTAGGTCCAGCTCCTGTAGTCTGTCATTTAAGGCCCTTCACAAACTGGATTCAACTTTCTTGTTCAGTCTTGTTATGTCTGAACAAGTCCAGTGCATGTATGACACTTCAAGTTCTTCCAAATCAAGTCAAAGTTGGTGGCACAAGATCTGCCCTGAATATGTCTAATACTTCATATACACACCCAACACACACATTTTTATCAACTCTTTGCCCTTGCTTTTGCTATTCTGTCTGGTTACCTTCCCTATCTCCCTTTTCAAAATGGCAATGCTTCAAGGTTAGTCTCTAACTAACATTGCCTGCTATATGACTACTGCTTTCTCTAAACTTTATTAAATAAAATTTATTTTGTTTTTAATCTTTCATATAACTTACTCAGTGTTCCTAATGTTGCAGTTGTATGTGACCACCTTTGTACTCTCAACACTCTGTCCATTATGAAAGTAATCATGATTTAGTATAGTTGGCTGTTGTCTTCTGATTGCTCCCACCTTCACCTCCCCAAAATAGTTCCCCCCTCTTTGGAGACAGAGTCTTAGTTTGTCTCCCGTGATGAAATGCAGTAGCATGATCGCATGATCATAGCTCACTGCAGCCTTCAACTCCTAGGCTCAAGTGATCCTCCTGCTTCAGTCTCTCAAGTAGTTAGGATTAAAGGTTCCTGCCATGGTGTCTAGCTAATGATTTTTTTTTTTTTTTGAGACAGAGTCTCACTTTATCACCCTCAGTAGAGTACCATGCATCATATCTCACAGCAACGTCAAACTATTGGTCTCAAATGATCCTCTTGCCTCAACCTCTGAAGTAGCTGGGACTATAGGCAGCTGCTACAGTGCCAGGTTATTTTTTTTAAAGATGGGAATCTCACTCTTACTCAGGCTGGTCTCTTACTCCTGAGTTCAGGTAATCCATTTGCCTCAGCCTGCCAGAGTTCTAGGATTATAGGAGTGAGCTACCACATCCAACCTCCAGCTGATTTTTTAATTTTTGTAGAGACAGGATCTCACTGTGTTGGCCAGGCTGAACTCAAACACCTGGCCATAAGCAATCTTCCTGCCTAGGCCTCTCAAAGTGCTAGGATTACAACCAAACTGATTTTGAACTCCTTACAGGAGGACTTAATTTTTATTTTCTTTCTATTACCTTAATTCACATACTTTACATATAGCTGGTACTCAATACAATTTTGATGCCTTGCTCTAAATTAAAATGGATTTAAAACTAAAGCACAACACATTGAAGAAGTTCCTTACAAAGAGGGAAAGGTCAGGGGCTTCTTCCCTGGAAATATTCCAGTGGAGAAAAGCTTCTATCTGGAAAAAATCACCCAGTATGCAGCAAGATGAAGAAAAAAAAACAAACTTCCAAAAGACCTGGTCATCTCAAGAAGTCTGTGTACATGTCCAGCCTGTGTAGTCAAGATAACAAGGGCTATCCTATTTTCAGACTTCTCTG